TCTGTGTGGTCTTCGTTACTGTCCGCACTCTGTGTGTGACGTGGTCCACAACACGCCGCCCAAGAACATGGTGCCCATTCTGGGCTGGGTCAACCAAGAAGAGATGTTTATTTTAGGAAAATAATCCAGTTTGATGCAGATTAAAAACCTTTGGGCCGACATTCGAACGTGCATCCTGCTACGCAGAAAATAAGAAATGAAAACAGGTGTAAACATAACTATTTTAACAAAACTCTCTCATCCTCACACAAAGCAGTAGATTACGGAGGGCGTGGCTGAACGAGTTGAGCTAGATCATTTGGGGATCTGGTTGAGAAGCTTTGTGTTTATCCTGTCTTCCAGAGCACTACGACCAGTAATTGTTGCAATGTCTGACGTGGGCTAGGAGCGCATGGGCCCTGGCATAATGCAGAGACCATATGATAGAGACAATTCGTTTGTGAGTTGTGGGGGGATTTACCCAGAATTTTAAACAAAATCCACACAGGAAGTTCATAGGTGTAACCTGTCTTTTTGTCAACCCGGATTATGGTTCAGTCATTCTAACAACACGCTTACTTCCAGTGTCTACTGCCAAGCCGGCAATCCCTTCATCATTAATTTTTTTTTTTTTTTAGTGTCACGCCGTAGTTTTATCAGTGTGTCGGTGACAATATAAACTATATCTCACTGGTGACTTGAGACGGCTACGAAAGAAGTTTCAGTCAATCTTGTGTAACGGCGTCTGTAACTTGAGGGTGGTGAAATCAATTCCCAGCCCGACACACCGGGCTTAGAAATCAGCTGCAGACAGTTTGGTAGCAGACATCTTTGTGTCGATTTTTTTTTCTTCTTCTTACAGCAGTACGCCTTCGTACCGTTTAGAAACAATGGCAAACTATTGAACGTAAAATTGGCAAGTGAAGCAATACAACAGCAATAGCGACATGTTGGTTTCCTATAAAGGATATTAAACTAATTGTGAGATGTAAACTTTCGCCTGAGCAGAATATTGTATGATAAATCATTAACGAAGAGCTTGAGAGGAGAACGAGAAATTCCTCCGAATCAAGAGGTCAGGAAAAGGAGAGGGCAAACGTTGAAGAAGAAGAAAAAACGTGAAAAAAATATATAAAGCCGTTTTGCTGAAATCTTAAGGGTCAAAGAAATAAAGCTCGGGGTAAAATTAAAATGAGAAAGGAAATAAAGTCGAATAAGATGTGGATTACATTGCTCTGTAGGAGCTAACAAAAGATAATACAGTACGACTGAGTTGGTTGAGAGTTTATGTTCTGATAGGATGCGAATTGACGGAGTGAGAAATCTAACACTGATCATCGTTAGCTCTAATTCGTAGGGACTTAAGCTTCAAGGTTTTTAGGCCATATCATAAACGGCATATCGCCATGGGAAAAACCCATATACCCCGTTCAACCTCCAAAGAAACTCTAATCCAGCCACCTGTAACGGCTACATCAAGTACCATACTGATGCACCCTGCACTTCTGTCTGGTGTGAATTGTTATCTGTATGCTTGTGCGACATTTTTGTTTCCCAATCCTGTCTTTAGAGTGAAGTCAATCCTTCTTTTTTAGCGTGTATGTACGTAGGTTGTACCCCAACAGGACATCACACAAGCGATAAACACCTAGTGACACCAAGTGCCACCATGCAAATAAGGATCACCCGTGGAGAGGACCCGGAAACCCCGTTCAGTCGTTACGCCATATTTCAGGCCCGGCTATATTTAGGGCCCGCGGCAAAAGCCAGGGTGGGGCTTCAAAATAACTAAAAATTGCATCCTACAAGGAGATGACGAGAGTGATAATCTAATTTTAAGTGTGTATAGCAACCTACCTACATCGGACTACAGGTGAGTTTTTAACCGTTGTGTGGTGTCCCAGTATAACTGTGCTATATTGTTATACAGTGGCAGGGGGTTCCCGTGATTTGTGGCTGTTAAATTCTCATCAATGAGATGTTAATCGCATAGACAGCGTCCTATCGTTACCTCTTATGGGAGATCCGTGTCCATTCTAGAAAACAATCAAAAACACGACTAAAGTTCAACCGGCTGCTGCCAGCGTTTGGGGCGATGAAAATGGCTCGTGTACAAACTAAGACAGACAAGAAGGTTTTCCGTGTAATTATTGAAAAATATTACAAGCTGACCAGTGACTTCTGCAGAAACAAGCCAGTATGTGAGGAGATTGCAATGATCACTAGCATGAAGCCGAGGAACAATATTGCTGGATTCGTTACACATCTGAAGAAGAGGGATCAAAAGTGATCAGTGGGGAATATCTCCAGTATAGTTCTGGATGGAAACAGAGAGAGGGTAGAAAAATATGTAACGGGAGTTTCTGCTCTTGAGATGGATGCAATGAAAAGGACCGAGGTACCAAAGAGATGTTGAATTCGCCGGACTTTGACAAGCTTCCAAACATTCTGGTCACCCAGACCACTCCCACTTTAGTTAGAAGGAGGTCACCTCCAGTTGAGGACATTAGATCCGACATGAAGAAAGTCATGATTCTATAAATAAAATTATCAAATGAGACAATTGCCCGACGGTTGAACGGCTCTTACCGGGACTTGTACACGCAGAATTCTCATTCTTGTGGTGCTAATTCTAAGTACTGCACATCCTGGAGGGGACACACTTCATTGTAGCAAGTATAGCAATAGCTAACGCTTGTATTGCTTCAAGCCCAGTTTCTTTAATACAAGCGACTCCCCAAAAGCAAATATACCACTCGTTTATGTGCAGAATAGATCTTCACTGCAGTGACCTAGAAACAGCCAGGTAAGCATTGCGCGCCACATCATACTAATTACTTTCTGTCTTATGGTTATATAAACATGCAAGCATATTTAGACGTTATGAGCAACTTTATGTGTTAGTAGTAAGTGGGTTGAACCGTAAGCCTAACGGTTAATAGTTTTAATACAGAATCTAGCTGTATAGCAACTGCTTATATAGAAACATTGCTAATCTATCGTGTTCTTCGGCCTGATAAATTTCTCCTGGTATGCCGAGTACAAAACTTGTTCTTGTGTGTTGTTGCAGAACGTTGTAAGAGTTGCCGCGGGATTCCCCTTCGATCGACAGCGTAATGTGTCTGTGTGCCGCGTTCGCATGTGGCTCCTGCAGTTCTTTGTTCATGGTTTCAGCAGATCATATTTCTTCCAGTTTCACAATAATTGTAAGAATTTTGTGTTAGTGTAGGATACTATTTAATTACACACATGTTTGGAGGTTTTATTTACGCAAGTTCTACAAATAAATGTTGACAATAACCACACCCGAGTATAAATGGTTTTGTGAGTAGCAGAGGTAGATAATCACGGTGGGAAACTGGAAATGGTTTTAGCTGGTTATGGATTCTAACCCGTGGATTTACGTTCCCGCTTAGATCGCAGCCATCGTGAACGAGGGTCTCCTTTTTGGGTTAATATTTGGTCTGAGCATTCTAAAAACAAAGTTGTGGTTTCCTCAATGGCCACTTCCACTGCAATTGTTTTCAAAGCCTGGTCGGTCAAAACAAACCGAGATTTGTAGGTTACTGGCATAGGCGTCTGAGTCTGGGAGCTGAGGTACCTTGAGCCGCCTCACACACACACTTACACATGGGAGGGGGGGGGGGGGACTGAATCTTGTTTCCAATAATTTTTTGTTAAAGAAATGTGAGGTCCCCGTCTACTTCTCCAAGAATATGGAAGGCAGAGCATAAACTAAAAAAAAAAGGGGGGGGGGAAGATGGGGGGGGGGGGGGGTGAAAAAGGAAGGGGAAAAAAAGCCGGAAAAAAATATCACAAGAAACAGATTAGATGATGAGAATATATACCCCCCCCCCCTTTCCACCACATGGACTTCACGTAAAGATCTAACACCCTCTGACTCAAAAGGCAACTTTTCGGATATCAATCAATCACAGACATCCATCTACAACAGTGTGTGACACCATACAGGTACAGACCTGCTGCTATATGTAGGTAGGAGCTTGTCTCATCAGACCTGCTGCTATATGTAGGTAGGAGCTTGTCTCATCAGACCTGCTGCTATATGTAGGTAGGAGCGTGTCTCATCAGACCTGCTGCTATATGTAGGTAGGAGCTTGTCTCATCAGACTTGCTGCTATATGTAGGTAGGAGCTTGTCTCATCAGACCTGCTGCTATATGTAGGTAGGAGCGTGTCTCATCAGACCTGCTGCTATATGTAGGTAGGAGCTTGTCTCATCAGACCTGCTGCTATATGTAGGTATCCTGATATTTGGATAGTTTTACAAATCGGTAAAGTGTGCACCTTCACACATGAATTGAGAAATAATACAATAAAGACAAAACACATCCGGATTTGGGAAGTTTATGACAGACATCCGGCGGATTTTAATAAAAGGACTCTGGCATCTAGGTCTTTTCAGCCTATTTTTTTCCCGTTTAACCGTTTTTTTTTTTTAAATTAATTGTTTTTTTTATCAGCAATAATTTTTTTTTACGTTTTAGTTTCAGTGATGACAGGCAAGTCAACCACTTTGCAAACACGAAGCAGTCGAAGGTGTAACATTGGCATATACAATCGAGAGTCTATCCACTTCTTCAAGAAACATTTCTGTAAAATGGACAATGTCCTAGTTCTGTGACCCACGTGAACTTCGCCCGGAAAGAACACCCAGTTTTATCAAGTACTTATAATTACAACAGAATGTCCCACGTCATAAAGGACTGACAATAGAAGAACTATAGAGACCTTATTTTTATGAAGAACTATAGAGACCTTATTTTTTATGAAGAACTAAGGATCAAAGAAGAACCAAGAACACCTTTTTTTTTTAACCAAATGCTAACAATCAAAGAAGAGCAAAGAACACCCCGACTCATCAAGGACCAACTAATGAAGAGGAAGATAGGAGACACATTCAACACAACTACGAGACACGTGGATTACCGTGTCCTTGGCTTCACGTTTGTTGCTTGTTAACAGAGATTGCTACTTGTCAACGTTGAATCGATCTGGGAAATGAGTGACTGCGATTGTGGTGACTGCGATTGTGGTAACTGCGATTGTGGTGACTGTGACTGTGGTGACTGTGACTGCTGTGACTGCTGTAGCGGTGGTGATGGCGGCAGTGGAGGCGACGATCATTCAGATTTGTCCTGTGGCTGTTTGAACGTGTGCGTATGGTGCTGTGTCAATGACACTGCCGAAGACGCTCTGGCAGTTAGGGACAGGCGCAATAAAAGAGCGCAGAACGTCAACGGAGCTCAACCTCTGGTCCCTCTACAACAGCAACAGCTGCTACAACAACAACAGCGACTACAAGAAGCGCCCCCGCAGCAACAGCAGCCACCTCAACATCAGCAGCAATCGCAACATCAGCAGCAGCCGCAATACCAGCAGACGACTTATGATGTAATCAGTCGGGAAACTCCCCCTCCACCTTACAGTGAAGTTGTTACCCTGCAGCCATGACAAGAACACAGCATCCAAAATGTAGTGTCTTAATATCAGTCTCCACCGGATTGTTGCAGGGTACAAGTTTAGAAAATTTAGAATTAACTCCATCAGTACCAGGTTATCTTCGAAGCTGACGTCCAAAGAAACAATAACCACAATGATAAACTGAATATTTTACTTTCAATGAAGAAACAGTACTGTGCTGATGTTAATTATATATGCATGAATTCTTTGATATCTCTCTATAAGGAACAATACTGTGCTGAATGTTAATTATATGTGCATGAATTCTTTGATATCTCTCTATAAGGAACAATACTGTGCTGAATGTTAATTATATGTGCATGAATTCTTTGATATCTCTCTATAAGGAACAATACTGTGCTGAATGTTAATTATATGTGCATGAATTCTTTAAAATCTCTTTATAAGGAACAATACTGTGCTGATGTTAATTATATGTGCATGAATTCTTTGATATCTCTCTATAAGGAACAATACTGTGCTGAATGTTAATTACATGTGCATGAATTCTTCAAAATCTCTTTATAAGGAACAATACTGTGCTGATGTTAATTATATGTGCCCTTGATATCTCTCTATAAGGAACAATACTTCTCTCTTAGTCGCTCCTCTTCTACCTTGGGGTGTAGAGAGATCGCCAGACGTCTCTATCAGCAGTTTTCTTCCTGGCTTTGTTTCATTCCAGTCCTCTGTAATTTAGGGACTGTCGGATGTTGTCTTCCCAGCGGTCCCTGGGTTGCTCTGGAGGTCTGGTTCCCTGGTTCTTAGCCTCCCATGCCTGCCATGATGGCCTATTTTCTCCCATTCTGCATACATGTCCAAACCATCGTAACTGTGACTGATCCACTCGGGTTTGTAGGGACTGGGTATCAAGATCTTGACGTATTGTCTGATTGCGGACATGTCCCTTCTTGTCACTTGGACCACCTATCTCAGATATCTTATTTCTGAGGCCTGAAGCTGGCTTCTGTGAGCTGTTGTTATTGCCCATGACTCACACCCATAGGTCAGACTGGTACATAAGTAGTGCGGTATATATCCATTTTCGTCCTCTTGCCAATGTATCTGTTGCTAAGAAACGCTCGGTTTATGGCCTGGAAGATTCTCCCAGCAGCTGCCTTTCGTGTAGGATGTTAATTATATGTGCATGAATTCTTTGATATCGCTGCATGTCTATATCCTCTTCATGTCGTTGTTGACACATAAGGTTTCCATTCACAGATGATCTCCGTATCTACATGTCAGCTTCTGTTCTGCCCAAGTTATCCCACCAGTGTGTACTCCTTCACTTCCCTTTCTACTTTCTCCACTCGAGAGTTGTCATTGTCTACATTATTATCTATGCTAAGACCATATATGAAAATATGCAAGGCCACATCATAGTTACTTGATACACATTGTCAAAGGATGTCCACGCATAGTTTCCTTGCTTGTGGGTGAAAGATTTTAGGATTACTGTTGACTGCAAATAAACACATACTGGTATGTAAGAACTTGTTAACTGAACCATAGAATGACTATGAAAACATACCTTGCAGGTCATGGGAATTTAGAACCGAACCACTATATCAATTCTTCTCTTTTTATACTTCTTTCTACTTCGTCAGTTTTGCTTGTACTCTTTAATTTTAGTCAGGTATTTTGAAATCCTCCCTCTTTCATTTGTCACTTCTTTCATTTGTCACTTCTTTCTTCTCTCTCTCTCTCTCTCTCTCTCTCTCACACACACACACACACACACTCTCTATCTCTCTCTCACTTCCCCTCCCCTCTCTCTCCTCATTTTCCCTCTCTTTCTCTAATACAAGCCAGTTTACACTTTTTAAGTGGTTAATCAAATACTATTCAGTTTCACCTCCTAGAACTTTCTTGACATCCTTCTCAGGCTCTCTACTTGGTAGCCTTAGCTGATTGTGCCAAAGAAAAAAAAATTGCCCAAACGGGGATTTAAACACATGATATTCGAGTTGGCAGACTAGCATGCTAGACAACGCACTGTTGATACATAAGTGCAATTTTATATTTGATTATTTTTAAAATGCATTTTGGTGTGTACAAACTTTCAACATTCCATATCACATGTGTTCATGTGTATTCCTAAGTGTGAGAAGCAACAAGGAATCCCTCATCTGTTTAAACACCACACGATTCTGTGAGAGGTTGAGGATGTAGACGTAACAGGAGTATAACGTAAGTCACAACATTCACACTTGCAACACATGAACATAAATGGTGTATGCAAATTAGCCTAGACAAAGATGCAGCTCATTGTCAGTTGTTGAGCGAACCATTCAGAGAGGAGGTCGAATAATATAATATATGGCGTATGCTACATTGGTGAAAATCCACCCGGTAACCTTAGAACTAGGTATTAAGTAAACATAGACGTTGGTTAATTGTATTTTGGAAATCGCGATAGCGAAACAAAGCACTGAAGTAAATAGTGATAAAAGCAAGAGCGTTTTTCTTATTATTTCAGCTGTCACGCATTGTGAGACAGATTGTTCATGTTGCCGTCTGAAAATCAAGGGCAGTGTTGACACGGTTTGAGTGTTTAACACAGTATTCAACAGGTTTAGGGTGTAGGGGAATGAGTCCATTCAAGTTACAACCAAACGATCACTACGCGCAGATCATCTCAACTCTGCTTATGTCTTCTCTCGCTTCCTGACAACAACTAAAAACTACTAGTAACAGGAGCGTTACGCTGTAAATAAAGAAGGGCATATAACAGAAAAGCAAAAACTACATACAAAAGAGTTGAATATGAGTAGACTACAAGACAGACCAATAAGGCTGTGGGGATATAATACAGAGGCCTGACCTACTAACACTTGGTGTCACCAACTGGAAAGAGAAAGCATATCAAAGAGCTGTATGGTAGTGAGTGATATCTGAAGCAGGGAACCACAAGTGTTCCAAATGCTAAAGAAGAAGAAGGAGAAACAGTATTTATGTGTTCATGACATTCTACAAAACAAAACAAAAAACAAAAACGGTTGAAAACTGTCTTTTTAAAATAAAATAAAAAGCGACTGCTTTTAATACTCGGTCGTATTATTTACCATAGTGATTGAGAAAGAGTAATCATGAAAGGCGTGGTGTCTAGAAAAAGAAAAAGAAGAAGATTTTGACAAGCACAAACGCAGGCACGGGAAATGGGAATCAAATTTGGCATGAAAACTGACGAAACAGTGAAAATAGAGAAAACACTGTATCACATGGTGCGTTTACCGCAGTGTCACGTGACAGGTCGAGTCATCTAGGGTCCACAAACAAGTCGCGCGGTTCCTTGCCATTTTCTGTAGCCTTGTACCCTGTTATGGAAGACTGATCATGTTCCTGTGTTTCGGACTTCAGATTGCTATGGACCCGCCGGGGTCCCAGCATAACTGCAATGGACCCGCCAGGGTCCCATTATAACTGCTATGGACCCCCCCTGGGGTTCCAGTATAACTGCTATGGACCCCCCTGGGTTCCAGTATAACTGCCATGGACCCCCTGGGGTTCCAGTATAACTGCTATGGACCACCCCCTGGGGTTAAAGTATAACTGTTATAGACCCCCCCCCCCTGGGGTTAAAGTATAACTGCCATAGACTCCCCCCCCCCGGGGTTCCAGTATAACTGTCATGGACCCCCCGGGGTTCCAGTATAACTGCTATGGACCCCCGGGGGTCCCAGTATAACTGCTATGGACCTTCCGGGGGTCCCAGTATAACTACTATGGACCCCAGGGGTCCCAGTATAACTGCTATGCGGTTGACAGGGTTCTGGAATTTGTATGTGTTTGATTTTCCTTAAGCTGTCCACCTTCCACCACACATGTCTACGTAGAATTATCAAAATTTTCTGGCCAGATACAATCTCAAACACTAAACTACTTCAAGTCACAAACCAAGAAACTTTAGACAGCATGATTACCAAGAAAAAATGGAAATGGCTTGGCCACGTTATGAGAATGAATCCTGATATACCCGCCAAAACAGCTCTCACATGGACACCAGAGAGAAAGAGAAAACAGGGGCGCCCAAAAACAACATGGAGACGAACGATGGAAAGTGACCTGAGTGCGGCATCTTTGACATGGGAAACTGCACTGAAGATTGCGCAGGACAGGAAAGCATGGAAAGTCTCCTCTGAAGCCTCATGTGCCACTAGGCATAACTAGAACTGATGATGATGATGATGATGATGATGATGATGATGATTTTCCTTGATCTGTTATTCCGACAGACTGCGGTCCTGGACAGGCTACCAGGTAACCAGGTAGTCTTAGTTTCAGCTTCATATCAAACGGGTCACTCCATAGCTGCTCCGCTCCTGTGCCAACGAAAAACACACAAAATGTTTATCACAGTTTAAATAAAATCCGCAGCTCACAGTGTTACGCCATGCACTCAACTCAAAGGCTAGACAACGAAACTATATCCTTCCAGTCTACAGATGGAACAAAAATGCAACGGCCACCGTCTGGCAGAAGCAAATGTGCCACGGCTTTAAAAAGTGGCCGTGCCTAGCGTTCATTTTGACCTGAAGCACTAACTATGTGAGGGTTAATAAACGGTCACCCCAGCAGCACCCTCACTATTAGCTGTGGAAGGGATTTAGGACATTACATCCACCAGCAAGCGTCGCCCCTACAACGACCTGACTGCCTACGTTAACGTCTGTTCACCCAACAGCCATGCAGTTCTTTGGCACAAAGCAGACACCTTGAACTTGGGTTTCGGACTGCCGACTCCCTACAAGATGTTATGTTTTTTTTTCTGTTATCACGGTCGACGTCACTGCACATTGGACATTCCCATGCGTGCACAGTTCTCCGATGCAGCAGCCACTCCAAAGTACTTCTACTATTTGTTCCCACGAGAAGCTGGTTATATTGTCTCCTATCTCGGTCTTGAAGACGGCAAAGACGTGCTTCACCATGCAATCGTGCCAGTGTCAGGGATTCCTCATTATCCACTAGCCCAGTCCGTACAGCGTTGA